CAGCCCGCAGAGAGAGAACATGCATACTGATGCACTGAGGTCTCTGTCTGTGTTTTTTTATTTTCGCTGGCTTCCTCATCCCTCTTTCAAGGACCTGCAAACTTGACTGGAGCTGGTCTGCAGCACTGCAAGATTAGATATAAAGGAAATAATGCATTTATCTGATGATTATTTTCCAGTGCAGCCTTTATTTTACTTCTCTCTTATGTTTCCTACAAGATTCACAAGGGGATTGACTGTTACTAGGCAGAAGTGTTTAATATACACATACACATACATACACACACACACACATACATACATACATATATATATATACACACACACACATACACACATATATATATATATACACATACACATACATACACACACACACACATACATACATACATATATATATATACACACATATATATACCCCGCAATCTCTTTAAAAAACCTTTATCATGGCTTAAGAAAAACCTTTATGTTACACACATAAACTTCAATTACTGGGGTTTTCTATCACCTGGATTTGGATAAACTGAAGTTAAGATTCTGGATGAAGCTAAATAGCTAAGGATAAGTATTGTTTAAAACCAAGAAATGTAGGTTTAAAAAACAAACAACAAAAAAACATTCATGGCAATGCCTTAGAATTCATTTAGAATTCATTCCCTATACACGCTCAAGTCCTAACTCCCAGTACTTCAAGAGCATGACCTTACTTAGAAATAGTGCCATTGTAGGTATATTTTAAAATGAGGACATACTGAAGTAGGGTCGGCCCTAACCCAATATGACTGGTGCCTTTATAAGAGAAACAGATGCAGAGACACACAGGGAGAACACCGTGTGAAGATGGAGGCAGAGATTAGAGTGATTCATCTACAAGTCAAAGAACACCTAGGATTGCTGGCAACAACCAGAAGCTAGGAGAGGGACTATCGCCCAGCTGACACCTTGATTTCAAACTTCTAAGTGTCCAGAACTGTGAGATAATGCATTTTTGTTGTTTTAAGCCACCCTATCTGTGGCTCTCTGTTACAGCGGCTCTAGGAAACACATAGTTATTTATAATAACCAACTAAAAATTAAGTTCTGTCTTTTCATAGAAGTGAGGAACCCACTGCACTACAGTCACTAAATTCCCATGGATGGATCTCAAGGCTAATTAGCTTTAGGGTAAATTATCATAAAGTTGTAAGAAAGTTTCAGTATATATTTAATTTTCTAAGCATATGCTTACATCATAAAAAATTCAATCATTTCTAGATTAATGGAAAACTAGTGTCAGAGAGAAGTTTCATAGTAAAAAACACTAATTTTCCAGTAGTCAAAAATGGAATTATCACTAGAATGTCTTAAGAACTGAAAGATTTTTTTTTTCTAAACTGAAGGTGTAATCTGTATATCTGTATTGTTCATAGTTGGAGACATATCAAAGTCAAAGAAATACTCTAGTTGTGTAAAAACATTCAAAGAATTCGTGCAATATTTAATTCTCTTCCCTCCCCCACCCTGCTAAAGGCAGTTTCTAACCCATGATTTACTAATGAATCAGAGAAGTAATTTCACTATAGTTTCAACAGACACATGTATTTAAAAGTTTAATTTGTTTACTTAGAAAAGTAAATACTGCAGGATTCTACAACTGAAACACAAACGTTTAAACCTTTCTTTCTACAAACTCAGTGTGTCTAGAGAAACTCTCTACCACCTGTAAACAATCTGTAATTCGTACAGATGCACAACAGAACCGTGACCTCCAGCTCTGCAGTAGGACTTGACAATGCCCCTATGCACAGCTGTTCTGCCCCTGCACCCTCAGCCCTCCCACCCTATCTCAATAGTAACTCAGAGTTCAGCTAACAAGTGGTACCAAAAGGTCAAGCCTAGAATCTCAAGTGGCTAGGATTACAGACTGGCTGGGCAGAAGTGGAAGGGCTCAGTGCTGGGAACATTCATCCATCCATGTATCCATGTACTCAAGATGGTGTGGGGTGTATTAAGGGAATGATAATGCTTGGTTTATTTGGAAAACTCTGAGATGACTGCAAAAGACACAAGGACACACACCCTGAAACATATACAATGTGATCACCACCACCACCCTAAATCAACATAAAGCTGGGCTTATCCTAGAACGTTGAAAACAAAGAACGATGAATTTTAAAATGTCTTATTTTTAAGAATATGATGCAAAAAGTACCTCAATACACATTGGTTTTAAAACACCTGAAAACTGATTATAAAAAGAGAAGATGACCTTTCATAGTACATTTAATGTGATGATAAAAAGCACCTAGTTCTAAATACGTTTTAAAAACAAACAAGGAACATCTAATATCTTACTCAGTTTTTCCAACTAGATGGTGAAAACTTAAGTTAGTAGAGCCTACCAAAAGTATATTGTAGTATGTTGTAATTTTTTTATATGTATTTTTTTTCAGACAACTAAGTACAATGTTTGGTAAAACAAAATGGTATATAATGAAATAAATTGTCACAGATGATACTCTGGAATTCAGTAAGTGCTAATACATATTTCAGAAATTTTAACTCATTAAAGAAATGCCCTCCCATTTAATAGTTACCCTCCCTGTATTCCAAATCTTTTATCCATCCTCACTGTATCTTAACAAAAGCAAGAACTTTTAGATTTACTCAAGTTAAATTAGTTCAAAAATCTTACCATTCAGGTTTATACATATGTATGAATGATTTTTAAAAGTTTATTTCTAATATGAACATAACTTCCCTGAAGAAACCGCCAAGGGTCTCTGAATGATCCATTACTACCAGTCCCTTCCTGCATTCAAAACAAACAGTAAGACACAGCCCGCACTACTGGCTTGGTGCTCCAGAGTTCCAAGGCAAGCGGCACTCCTGACCCTCCCACTTCCATTAGAGCCCCTGCGCTGCATACCCTGCTCCTGAGCCCTCCTGTGCTACATGCCTGGTTCACATCCGCAGAACAGACAGGTTAGGTTCCCACACTGGCTTTGCACACCTTGGGAAACACCACTCACCTACCATGTGAATGGCTCCCTCTGGAGATTTGCTAGTGTACAACCTTGACTCCACATGCAACTTGGTGTTTGGATTATTAAAATGTTAAGGATGCTGGGAACCTACCACATGCACAAGGCGAAGCAGAAAGGCAGAGGGGGACAATAAGCTAAAAGCTTATTTGTATAAGGCTGGAAACAGGCAATGCTGGGTACAATACAGACTTCTTACAAAAGCAATCAGAAACAAGATCAGGGAAGTAGAGGAAAAAAAGGTTTTAAAGTGACTGAGGAAGTATCCTGGGCTCAGGAACACAATAATGAAACAGAATGGGCCCACTCAAAGCCTTAACTCCGGGATACGGGCCCACCCAGATTCTTCACTACCCCTCAAGTTAGGGGCACACGAGGCCCTACCCAAGTATAGTCAGGCTAAAGTCTGGGCTCGCCCTACTTGTGTCACATCACACAAAGTGAAAACCATGGCTCTAGGCAAGCTTTGGTTCTACATACAAACTTCTTCAAAATGTTTTAACTTCTTTAAAACCTGTGACACCGTTAAAATTATGAAATCTTAACACTATGAAATATGCTTTTAACTGTAAGAAACCAATTAAAAGAATATATAAAAAACATACTGTTTTAACTATCTATCTTAAGGTATGTCTCAGCTCTCCAATTAGATTATAAACTCTTTAGGTGAGGGCTGTGTTAAATATGTCTTGACCACAGCATTTAACACAATGACTTTCACTATGTAAATGTTCAGAAAATACTTAATGCAATATTTTAAAGCATCTTCTTATTTAATAATGTATTAAGAATAGTGTGAACAAAAACAGAATACAATAATAGGAATTTACCTTTGAACCACTAGAGCTAAAGCCAGCTAACACAGCAAATAGATTTTTTTTTTTTTTTTGTCTTTTCCGTGACCGGTAAGGGGATAGCAACCCTTGGTGTGGTGTCGCCCACACCGCGCTCAGCCAGCGAGCGCACCGGCCATTCCTATATAGGATCCGAACCCGCGGCGGGAGCGTCGCTGCACTCCCAGCGCCACACTCTCCCGAGTGTGCCATGGGCTCGGCACAGAATTTTAAAAACATCTTTTATTTTGGGAGTTTTCAACTTAGTAAAAATATCTACACATAAACGAAGGTTCAACATAGGACTAATGAATCTCCTAAAACTGAAAATTATCTTGTCTTATTCTAAATAGATGTAAATTGTATTGATAATGTTTCTAAGACATCTAATATTTAAATTTTATAGGCAGCTAATCTACTTAGTCGATTTTTGTGATCTTTAGGGTGAAGAAGAAAAAGCAGCCAAGGCCCTGATCACAGGGCAGCATTAGACTCCCCCCAGTGTAATTTGAGTAGGGCCCTGACTAACAGTTAATAAATGTGCAAGGGTCTGAAAAGTGGCAGAACACAAAAAAATCTCTTGAAGGAAAGTAAGTTTAACCTTTTATTTCTAGATTGGAACTTATCCAAAAAGTAGTTTAAGGTTCTATTTTCCTCAGATAAAAATCACAATGTTAATAATATGTAAATGGTCATCCATTCAAAACAAAAATATTTTCAACTCAAAACAGAGAACTTTCAAAGTAAAATTGAGAGCAGTTTTAAAATACAACAGTATAATTTTCACCTGGATTGTTCTATTTTCCTCAGATAAAAATCACAATGTTAATAATATGTAAATGGTCATCCATTCAAAACAAAAATATTTTCAACTCAAAACAAAGAACTTTCAAAGTAAAATTGAGAGCAGTTTTAAAATACAACAGTATAATTTTCACCTGGATAAAAACTGACAAACAGTTAACTTTTTGTTTTATGCCACCATTACTTTCTCCTGCTCTGATTACAGATAAATGAAGTGACATTTCAAACAAAAACTTAAAACCTAGGCCAAAAGGAATCCAACACCACTAGGAGACCCCGTGAATGTGAGGCTGTTTTAGCACAGGCTACTTTCTGCCTTTGCTCTCATGCATGTTACCTTGTCACCAGACTTCTGCCCGCTTGGCTTCTTCTTACCTTGTCCTTTATACCTTGGTATCTGACATGAGAATAAAATGATATTTTACAACAAAATATAAATCTTTAAAAATAAACTAACTCATTACCAAACTAATAAAGATTCCTATTAGAAAAAAATTTTTAAATGTAAAATCTAATTAATTTCACATTCCTCTCTGAAATGTGCTTTTCTTATCTTTTCTTAACTCTATTCCTAAAGTGGTTCAACTCATGTTTATCTACTGTTTCCCACAGATACTTGGTCAAACGCAGATACTATAGCCTCCACCTGTTGCAGCTTCTATTGGGTGGAGAATCACTTCTTTCATGCTACCTCTAGCAGCATTCTAAATAAGCCTAAGCTTGAACTCCTAAGCAGCTTCACTGAAGACTTGTCCTGGCCTTACCTTCCTCAGGAGCACACGAAGCTAGTCCCTAAAGGTCGGGCTGGACCCCATTCTTGACCACAATTTTTCACAGTCCCTAACACTCTATGTGGGCTTTCACGACTGATGAGGTACCACTGGGAGGCAGGTGGCAAGACAATGGGGAAAGTACTGGAATCCCCAAATCCAGATCCTTTAGGACTACGGGGAATTGCATTTTTTAAGTGCCAAAATAAGGATTTTTTTAAAAAATAGAACCCACCCCAGCCCCACCAGAGAGCATCTAGGGTATTTCTGAAACGGCTATTGCCACCTCAGGTTTATGAGGTCAACTGAGAAATGGAGACCACACTGAAGGTAACTGAAAGATGGCAGAAGTGTGGTGCCACCTGGAGGACAGATACTGTTCTCTAAATCAGCCTTAGAATTATCATTCACTTCTCAGTAAGAATTTAGAGCAACATATCCTAACTGACATAATACTCATCATAGTTCTTAGATCTTAAACATATTTTTATGTAGAGAGAATATATGTAAAACAGACATTAATATTTTATCTTGAAGACATACCTTATGCACTAGATTAGTGTTGCTAATTTGCTTTAAAAATAATAATTTGCTAAAAAGAGAACTTCCAAATAGCTCAGTGCTACAGATACTGATAAGTATTATTCATTATTACATTATATTAATTTTCATTTTGCTAAAGCCAGATGTTTTCATAGAAAATAAAGCTTTCCTACACACAGGCTCTTTTATCTGCAATTAGTTCAAAGAAATTTTAAAAATTTACTCATGGCCTTATCCTGTCATCAGGATTATAGCTTCCCACAAGCATCAAGGGAAAAAAAAAAACCTTTAAAAAAGAACTTCCCTATTAGAAAAGGCTAACTAGAAATCTAAGGAAGGAAGAAATGAATTACTATAAACAATATAATAGTCTCTTTCCTTGGTTAGAAATAAAGTATAAAATCCCTTTGGATTTCTAAACTTAAATAAAAAGGAGCAATAACATCAAAGAATAAGAAATGACAACATTCAGCAGTGTTCTTTGCCTAGATATTTGAAAAAGAAATCTAGCAGTATACCTACTACCCTCTGGAAGTTCACCTAATTTAAATGGATGCAATGTTTATCTAAGAGTCAATATACCACCATGAACCCACAAAAAGCCTAGTCTTTTGGAATGTACTCCACAGCATCACTCTACTCCTACAGAATGAAAATCAAAGGAGCAGTCACAGAATACAAATCTGACCTGTGATGAACTGCATGTCTGTGTCCCCCCAAAATTTGTATGTTGAAATCCTAACCCCCAAAGTAATGGTATTAGGAGGCAGAGCCTTTGGGAGGTAAAGGGGTCATAAGGGTTGAGCCCTCATGAATGGGATGAGTGAGTGACCTTCTAAAAGGGACCCCAGAGAGAGCTTTGTCCTCTTTCCACCATGTGAGGATACTATGAGAAGACAGCAGTCTGCAACCAGAAGAGAGCCTCACCAGGACACCATACTGGTGCCCTGATCTTGGACTTCCAGCCTCCAGACCGTGAGTTATAAATTTCTGTTGTTTATAAGCCACTCAGTACTTGGAACTTTGTTACAGAAGCCTGAATGAGCTAAAACATGACCCAAACCCATCATTTGATAAGACTAGCTGGTAGTTCCAATTCATGCTATACTTGAACCAGTCAACCTGACAACCATCTTTCTATCCATTCTTGTATTATTATATATATCCTTGGTCTTAAATTCAAGTGTCCAATTCAATTTTTTTCTCCATTATGCCAAATCCCTGAAATCAGATCTTACCTTTAACAACTCATAAATACACACATGCACACACAGTCTTTAACAACTCATTAAGTATACACATGCACACAACCTTTAACAACTAATACACACACACACACAAATGCAACCAGAGTACATACACTTTTTTATAAATTCTATTAAAATAGCTCATAAATATTAAAAAAATCATGATTTTATAATTCCAAATCTGATCATCTGTCTAGAGTCTACAATATTCAACACAATTTTATATTTTGGAATCTAATATTCACAAGCTAGGAATTTATAAATGAAAAGAAAGTAAACCTCCTTATTAATAGAAGACATGTTTAAAATACAAACGAGTCCAAATCTTCTACAATTCTATTATTTAACAGCATACTCCTTTCTATGATACAAAATTCAAAATACTACCGATACAGCAAAAATTTTTTTTAAATATATACTTAATCAATGGGAAAAAAGCGCTTTCAAAAAACTAAAGGGTACCTGTATTACAAAACAACAAAACTTATAACAAATAAGACCAGAGAGAGAAAAACAGAGTCCTCTGGAGTATTAGTCCAAATATTACCTCTATATCCTGTAGTTAACTAACTTACCTTACTTGGTGCTGTGTGTGCACTTGTTTTTCCTTCTGGTGACCTTGGTGGAGAATGTACATCAGATAGATCTAGTGCACCCTAAAATATTTCACAGTTCAAAATTAAAACACATTTAAAATACTAATTGTTTTTCAATGGAATTTTAGCATTTAAAAACACTATACAATGTTGGTATTTTATTTCTTCCTCATTAATGTAACTATCACTATATTTTCCTCTCATTTTACCAAACCAAACCAAACAAACTTAGATTCCAATTACCTGACAACTACTTCACTCAATCACTGTGAGCAGACCACCCAGTGTGCACTGAAACACCCCCAGTCTACCTCTCCAACATCACTGCCTAACTTCCCATTTCTACTTTCCAGACTAACATTATTCTGTGATTCCCAAAGATCTAGTCTTTCCACTCTCCCTGAATTTCTTTCCCTACTTCATTTTCTCTCAAAAAAAATTATCAAATAGCAAATCTCTCATAAAAAAAACTCTGCCCCCTTCATATGGCAGTAGTCTCTTCCTTTTTTTAACTCCCATGAATTTTCTTCCCCTTTTATAGAGCACTTATCCTAGTTCAGCTTCCATATAGTTATTTGTGTGTGTCTCATAGCACCGTCTCAACACAGGGTCCTAAGCACTACGGTAAAAAAAAAAAAAAAGTTTTTAAAAATGTTGGAAATCACTTCCTAAAATTCATCCACTATTATCATCACAAGCTTTATGACACTACATATTAAATATAGACTGTTTTGTTACAAAAATCCTTTAATAACTTTTTAAATATGAAAATGTGCTATTCTTCATAACTTCTGCTCCCTCTTGAGTCTATTTCTGATGATGGCATCATCTTTTCCCAGGCTAAAAACCTTAATATCATCTTTGAGACTTTTCTTTTTCCCATACTGCCTTCTAAGACCCTGTCCCATGCCAAAATATTAATTTACCAAGTCTTGTTGATTCTTCCCTTAAAAGGTAACCTTTATTGGTCCATTTATTTCTATTCTTACTGCTACCATTCTTGTCTAGATTTGCCTTTTTATGGGTTTCACTTCTTTCTAGTCTTCTAACTTCTCTGTATTTCATCAGCCTAACCTTCTCAAATTTGTCTCCCAAATGGCTACTCCTGTACAGAAGTCTTCAAAGGCTTCACATTGACCATAAACAAATATCTATTAAGAATCACTGTGTCTTAGACCCTGCCCTTATCCTAAATAAATTTATGACCTAGCAGTAGGGCAATAACAAATGTGGATAACTATAACAACTTGGCAGAATAAGGGACTAATCTACATATAGTTTCCAGTACTATAGGAAAGAGTACTAAAGAACAAGGAAAACACCACAAGGTGTCACAGATGAGGAGAGAAACTGAATGATAAAATTCCACAGCCACGGAAAGGAAAAGATGTATAATTTCAGGTAGACACTTAGAATGAGAAAATAACAAAAGACAAGAAAGCACAAGCCACTTTCAAGGAATAAGTTCAGTCTGGCTTACATACAAGGTTCCACATTTCAAAAAAAAAGGCATAAGGCTAGATAGGTTGAAGCAATATCATGCAGAATCTTAAATTAAGGTTAAATATAGAAAACCAAAGATAAAAAAACAAAAAAGTAAACAAAAATTAAAGTTGAAGAATCTGGAGACTCTTTAGTTGCCATTACATAGTCACTGCAATTTTTAAAGAGGAAGGGAATAAAGAGATGAATTTTAAAAACAATTCAGCAACAGTGAATAGTAGAGATTGAAAAAATGAGATGAGGTGACACTGCTGAACAGAGATGTGGACCTGGACTGATAATGGTGCTAAAGGGAGAGGAAAAGGACTCACTGAGGAGCTCAGAAAACAAGAAGGTGCTTTTAATTACATACAGCTGGGGCACATTCAACAAAATCAACCAAAAGTCACATTAAAATAAGTGAGGCACAGCAACCTGATTCTTAAGGTGGTTTTAAAAAGCGATTTGGGTAAAAAAGCATCAGTAACAGAGTTCAACAGGCTTAATCCACAGGTAGTTTTCTTTTCTACAATCAAAAGTGAAAGGTCAATAAAACCTGTAATTTTTTATTTCTTTTTAAATGACAGGTTTCCTCTCAAAGTAGCAAGATTAAAATATTAGTGAATGATGGAAAACCAAAACAGACACCTTTGAGCTCATTTTAAATATTAGTTTATATATTTATGTACTATATACACACAAACTATTAAAATGAAATAGCTATTAAGAGGGAAAAACTAGCAAAAAGTGGAGATAAAATATCCAACTTAATGGTTTTGCAATTGGGAAAGTAAAGCAATTACCTTTTGAAGATACAGAATTCCTATTCTGGGTCTATTTAATAGAATCACAGCTATGGAACAGTCACGGTAAACTGACAGAAGCTTCAGAAGTCCCAGCCAGAATGGAATGCTGAAGAATACAGTGATTCAGTTTTAATTTTCAAATCACACCAACTACACAGGAAAACTTCTACTGGGTTCTCAGTTTGAGGCAGACATCCTGTCTTCCAGCAATTATTCTATCTTCCATGGTTGCTGCCAGACCTACCAGTTATAGACGGGAGAGCAAATCCTTTCTGACAGAAAGACTGAATCTAGAACACACGGGAAGAGGTGACTGCTTGGGCTGGAACCAAGGATTCACAAGAACAGAATCAATATAAACAGACAAGTAAGCAACAAGAACTGGAACTGGGTTTTTTTTGGGGGGGTGGGGGGGGAGGATTTGTTGTATTTTGGTGTATTTTCACTTTTTTAGAAGTGATGAGAATAAAGTCAGCTTTTTTCACACAGGATTTAAATGTACTAGTGGTTTATCCAGGTGGGAATGTAAAGAGCTGGAAATTCTGGCCTGGAGCTAGGAGAAAGGATTGAGCTGGACATAGGCACACTAAACTGGACTCAGGAAGTCATCCACCTGGTAATGATAACAAAAATAAGAAACGATAACAATAATGGCAAATATTTACAATTGATTCCTATATGCCAAGCACTGTTCTAAGATCTTTGCACATATTTCTTCCTTTAGTCCTCACTACAACCTCACAAGGTCAATACTCTCTGATCTGCATTTTGCAGATGAGGAACCTAAAGCACAGGGAGGTTGAGAGACTTGGAGACTCACACAGCTAGGATGTGGCAGAGCTGGGATTTCAACCCAAGCAGCCTGGCAGCAGAGACCATGCTATTAACTAGCTTATTAAGGAAGGGGGATCCAACCAGAGAGAAAAATGCATGCAATCACCCCTGCAATGAGGTGAGCCAAAGAGCAACGCAGAAAGAATATGAAAGGGTAGGAAAAAGAGAAAAGAGGTCAGGCCCAAGAGAAGGAAGAGACAAAACAGAGATGTCATTACTGCCTACAGACTGCTAAGCCCAGAAGACCATTTGGGGCTCTTTTTAAAAAAAAATTCCCTAGCACAATGTCCATGATATAGGCACACAACAAAACCTTGTTAAATAACTGAGAAGGAATGAACGAAATTAAAATGCACAAGCCAAGGTGACAATGGTGCCTTCAGCAGGCTGGCTCCCACTAGGCCCTGATCTGGCTCTGCTCTCTTGCCCCCCACCTTTCTGGCACTGCCCACTTTCATAGAACACCCGCCCTTCTCAATCCTTGCCCCACAACCGACATCCTTTTCACATTAAGATTCAGCTTAACAAAATTTAAACATGAAACAATCACTTCTCCCTTTTAACTAAGACAATTACTACTTATAAAATGTTTGGAAATAATCATTTATTGTATGCCACTTCCTCTATAATCTTAAACTGTTACTTAAATATTAATTTCCTTTGTGAGCATATCTTATCGAATAGCTCTGACCTCTTTAAGGACACAGAACTTTCTTTTATTTTACCTTATATTACCCACAGAATTTATTTACCATGCCTTATAGGCCATTAGTACTCAGACAAGCTTTACTGATCTTCAAAGATCCTAACAGAAAATATACTCTGAGATTCTCCAAATAAATAGGTAGCCCATAACCCTCCACATTCTTATCTATAAACTTCTATTACTAAAAGCGCACATTTAACCAGATATCTGAACAGTTACAGATGTTGTCTGTGTCTGTGAAACAGTATCTTTATGTATAGCTACTGTATGTAGCTAGAAATCAGACCATTAATCTCATTAGGAGGATTTACAAAAAAGGCTAAGAGTAAGAAAGGTAACTGCTAATCAAAAAAGAAGTTTGAAAATGTTTAGAAACTTCGCAAAATCAACAGCTTAGTTTTAAGCCTAGTTTCAAAAAGCCTTTAAATCCAAAAAATTATTAGTCTATAAATCAGCCTTTTTCTATTTAACTAAAATAGTAGGAAAAAAATGCAACTACCCATTAGTTTAGATTTTTCTACACTGAGCACCATTCTTAGCATTTTACATGCATTAACTCATACACAGAAGCCTTAAAACACTAGGTGGGGGGCTGGCTGGTGAGCTCAGTTGGTTAGAGAGCAGTGTTGCTAACAACAAAGTCGAGGGTTCGGATCCCCCTACTGGCCAGCCACCAAAAACAAAAAAAAAACAAACCAAAAAAACCCCACAAACACTAGGCCCGTTTCACACATTAAAGCAATGGAGAGGGTAAGAGATGTGTCCAAGTTTAACAGCTAGTCAGTGAGGTACTGTGATTTGTTCCAGACATTTTGGCTCCTGAATTCAATACTCTGAGGATCAAAAAACAGAGCAGGTACCCAACAATGTCAGAGTTACCACATTACTAATTTTCTTTAAAATTTGCATTTATACAATCTGAGTGTATTTCAGTTTTAAGGAATGTCCTATTTTTATGTAAACCTTGATTCGTTATATATGCACTAATCTTCATGGCTAAACTAATTAGCCAATAATCAAAACAAAAATTAGAAAAAGATAACATAGTATTATACTTACTTCCCCACTGGCTGGCCCTTTTTCTTTCTGTTGACAGCGTCTGATCACTTCTAATAATAAGGGTCCACCCACAGTACCTTCTGCTTCAATAATACCTAAATCTCGGGCTAAATGCTCTCGACCTTCAAGACCTTGAAACTAGAAAAGAAATAAGATACAGGTGCACAAAAATACAGCAAAAATATTGCAAGACAGTAAAGAAAATATTTTTGGAGCTTAAAGATACCTCTAAACTCAAAGAGACTGTTTTTCTAATGAATGAAATGTCCATTTTTAAAGATTATACCTATTTCTTTTGTAGAGCCTCTACATTCAAAGTCTCTATTAATGGTTGCAGTAAAAAAATCATAACAAAACTAACTCTACAACAATACTCCTTTACTAGCAAGCTTTCAATATATATGAATTAGCGACTGATGCCAGCTGACAAGTCAGATGGCTTTTAAGAAAAACAGATAATCAACAACAAAAATAATCTATAGGCAAGAAGCTGTAGGTAGTCAAAGCTCATTAACTTTCAGTTTAATATTAACTCATTTATACCAAAAAAAGGTTTCATAGGATAAATGTAAAAATCATTATTCTTACTGTGCTAGTTTCAGGTTGAAAAACAGCCAAGGTAAAGTCAAGGTTAAAAAACTGAAGAAATTCTGCAACAAGACTAGCCACTAAACGACCTGTAAAGATAACGAAAAAGGTAGGTAAACAAGTCTTTAAGAACTTTGAAGTCTTTTTAACACAGTGACATGATATACACTAAATTAAAGAAAAAAAGTTTCTAAATTTTTTAAATTACAAATTTCTTCTCATTGAATAAAACAAATATGTATTTAAAATCCCAATCTCCCAATTTTTTCACTAGGATCATCAGTGTGAAACTGCAAGACAATATATAAATTCACAAACAGATTTCAGTGTTCTGCTTTTTATAGTAAAATTGGCTTTAACCAACAACTTCCCATGACCAAAAATATTTCGTAGCAACTTGACTAATGCATATTGAAATATGATTTTAAATGAGGACCTATAAGAATCGGAGACTTAAAAAAAATCTAAAGTTCTTGATTTCTCCCAAATGGTGTCAAGATTTGAAAATTCTCAGACAGATAAACAAGAAGCAGCTGAACATCTTACCATCTCTTGTATTTAAAAACTTTTTCAGGCTCTCATTGACTAAAGGAGCTTTGTTCTGTTAAAAAAGTAAAATAAACATCATGTGTTTATCCTAAAAACAACTACCAAATGTAGATTAAAGTTTAATTTTTTTGCAAAGATATAACTGATACATTGTCATTCATAAATTACAGTTTCATGAAATCCATTCCACACCTATTGATTACTACGGGACTTGTTTTGTGCTATTTAATAATTTCTGAAAGTTAATAAAACAAAACCATATATGAAGATTTGAATTTATTTCTAATTTTTAAATGTTTTATAAATTGCTTATTAAACTGCCTTTGAAGCTAGATATCTTCAAATACTTATGTGAAAGAAAATCAAATTTACTTATATAAACAACTGTTTATTTCAAATATATGAAGTTTAATATTTTGTCATCTTAGATATCTATCACTGATAGCACACTTACTATGAATAAATACATTTGTGATTCCCAGTTTATCAGTGCTATGTGATGTGATTTTATGTGGCCCATAGGCCAAACTTATTTTTGCGATTATACATTTATTTGAATAAAATATGGAAAAAATACTTCTAGCACATGAAACCTGTGATTATTTGTAAGGAACTAAATAACAAGCTGACAGAGTCCTTGGTATTTTGGAATTAGGCCAGCAAGGCTGGCTTCCCGTTTGCCCTTCTCCCTCCCCTTGAGGTCTGACCTTTGAATGAACCCAGGACCCTGAGAACTTTATAAAGGAGGAATTTATGTTGTTAGCCATGAACCTTCAAGCACCATGGCAACAGGAAGTGATCTATAAACAGCTTTGTACCAGACAAAACTGGCTTAATCAGTATGTTATTTTTACTGGCTTATAAAAATAAACTAAAATAAACTTAGGCACTTCACAGGTCAGCAGCCTGGGAAGTCCTCCTGACCCCATGAATGTGACTCTTCATTAATTCCCTACCATCTCCCCTCGCATACCGGTCCCCAACAATTACTGCTTAGGATAAGGCTAAAGTAGGTAGCAAATGGTAAGCTTCCTTAAACAGACCATATGAACTTCTGGAATATGGAAACCTCACACACTGTTGATGGGAATGCAAAATGGCACAACCACGTTGGAAAGCAGTTTGGTAGTTTTTTAAAAAAGTTAAACATATCCCTAGCATGTGATCCAGACATTCCACCCCTACATATTTTTTCAAGAGAAATCACAGATCCAAGCAAAGACTTGTACATGAATGTTCACAGCTGCCTTATTTATAATACTGGAAAACTGAAAACAATCCAAATGTCCATCAACTGGTGAATGGCTGAAACAAACTGTCATGTCCACACAATGGACTAATGGAATGATCTATTAATCCTGAACTCAAAATTTAATGTAATGAACTATTAATACACACTACAATATGAATGAATTTCAAAAACATTATGCTGAATGAAAGAAGCCAGACCAAAAACAGTATATACTGTGTGATTTCACTTGCATAGCTCCTAAAAATGTTTGAGGGAGGGGGAATGTTTACAAAGGGGCACAAGGAACTGAAGTTGTTAAAATAAAAGCAAGGAAGGGAAAGATCACAAAGGGACAAGATCAGAGGTGTATTACAAATAACCAATCTAGGAGCAATGTGCAGAAAAGTCTTCAAGCAGATGGTGAGAGTCACCAGCAAAGGGGAGACTAGAGAGTAGCAAAGCAGTCAGCAGAGCACCTCTCTTACAGTTACTTCAGATACAGACCCAACAGACACAGAGACAGGTGATGACTGAGTAGGTGGAAAGAAGAGCAAGGCCCAGGAAACGCTCTGATTTCTTGCTTGCATAAATGACAGTCCCAGTAGATGAGTCTAGTAGGCAGTTTAACACACAGGTCTGAAACTCAGGAGGGAGATGCAAAAAAAAAAATACAGGGCTGAAGTTATTAGTATGGTTAAGGTCACCTGGAGAGAGAATGCAGAATGAGAACTACAGGATAGCGCATCAACAGTTTAAGTGAGGTATATAGGAAAAAGATCATGCTGAAGAAACAAAGGAGTAGTGAAAAGGAAAAAAGAAAAACAGAACAGAAAAGTATCAAAGGTCAAGAGAGATTTTCAGATAGGAAGAAGGAATGAAGAATATTAAATGTAAAATAATAATCAACTAAGACAGACAGGAACTAAAGTATACTCAAGTAGGAAATTCCTCTTAACTGTAGCAAGAAAAATTACTTAGGTATAGTAGTGGTGGATTTAAGATTTTAACAGATTAAGGGGAGCTTAGAACACAAGAAATAGTATAAGACATACCCATTCTTTCAAAACCTGACTGTGAGGGGGAAAGAAAAACAGAGTGGTATTAAAATCAGAGTATGAGTAAAAGAAAACAGTTTTCCCCTCAAGAAAAGAGCCAACAGAAAGGTAGAGGTCAAAAATATAGTTAAAAATTAAGGAGATGAGAGTATACAGAAGGCAAAACCAAAACAAAGTGATTATTCTTGGACAAGACAGAGACTCTTCTACTAAAACAGGAAGGAAAAAGATACAGATAAACGCAGGCACAATTAACTTTTGCTGAGGTGAGTGACACACTAGTGGCTGGGAAAGGAAGACAAAAAGTTAGGATCTGATGGCTTCTATTTTCCCTGTGAAGGAAGAGAAAAGACTGTCCAGAGTAAAGGAAAAAGGAGTGAGGTAGAAGCTTAAGTGGGAATCAAAGAGTAAAAAGAACTGTTTGCCTGCTCGGGACCGAGCCGAAGTTGGTATCCACCGATTTGTAACATCAGCAATCCACATGGTTGAATGACTTTTCTCTAGTAGCACATATGCACAAACAGGGAAGAGTGAATCTCCTGGATTAAATAACCATTAAGACTTCTTCCACACCAAGTATGACTGGATGGAAAGGTAGTTAGGGTTTTTCAGGTACAGACCATGGGGTCCAGAACAAAGAGGAGTCAAGAGAAGACTGATGCTTGAACAAACAGAAAAAGCAAAGAAGTGAACGGTTTAATGAAATTAGAGAGCTGGTACATAGGTCTAAAGAAATGGAAAAATAGGAGATTGTTTTGTCATAAAGAGTTTAAGACCTTGATTATAGAATGATTCTTGTTGACAACAAGTTCCAGAATATTTGTTCAGGATGGTTGATGGAACTTGGGATAGAGAGAAAAAGCTAAATTTCCCACTTAAGTTCAGAGAAGTGGTTGGACTTCTGAGAAGAAAGATCGTGATTTTAAAATAACTGAGATAATTTTGAGAAAAGGTGCATGTTACATGCTTTGCCTGGCAGGGATTCACAATGCACATTAAAGGTTCTGAGTATCTGCTGTGAGTGCTCCTGCAGTTCTCAGTGACAAGGGAACCATTTCTTCACGTAACTCCTATGACCTTTCCTTTCAGATTCAGAATTGGTTTCAAAGTTACTGTGATACCTTAACTTACTTAAGTTACGACAAAATTGGAAAAGACATAAAAAGAGAATTGTTTTGGCTTTCTCCCAATAGTTAAGAAATGTGATCTTTAACAGTTCAAAATTATCCCTGACTATACACTACTATAACTTTTATTTTAATATGATTTTTATCCAGTTAAAAATTATGCATTAACGAATAGGGTAATATTAGAATTTGAAGATTTCATACCTCTACTTTTTCTTGTTCCTCTAATGCTAAAAATACAGCGGCTCGGAGTTCAGCCTTAAACAGAAAGGAAGTAAAGCAACACAAACCGTTACTTCAAGACAATTTCCACGACGACGAGCCACACGACGAGGCTGCAGGAGGGCTCAGGAAGGCGCGCCGCTGGGCTCAGCTCGCCCGCCGCCTGCCGAGGCGCCCCAACTGCCGCCGCCACTGCGGGAGCGCCTGAGGCAGCCGAGTCCGCGGGGCT